TTAATCATTTTGATGTTGCCTCAGCATATTTAAATGCTCCTATTGACGCTGAGGTATATTTACAGCAGATACCAGGTTATGAGCTGGAAAAAGACAGCATGGTGTTAAAACTGCAAAGGGCACTATATGGTTTACACCAAAGTGCACGTCTATGGCATGAATGCATAGACACAACTTTGAAAAAGATGGGATTCAAACAAAGCCTGGCTGATTCCTGTTTATATTCAGCAAAGGTGCAAGGAAGTGTTTGTTATTTACTTTTGTATGTTGATGATATTTGTCTAATAACAACTGCACAAAAGCAAGTGTCTTGGTTTATAAACAGCCTAGGTAACAAATACAAACTGAAGTATTTGGGAGAGATTAAGAATTACTTAGGAGTAGAGGTTCAGAGAAATGAAGAGGGCGTTTACTCTCTGAGTCAGAAGGAAAAAATCGAAAAGTTACTGAAGACATATGGAATGGAGAGGGCAAATGAGGTTGACACTCCCATAACTACCCAGTACAAACATGAACCAGAAGGGCAAAAATGTGAGAATGCAACAGCGTTTCATTCTCTGTTGGGTTCGCTGTTATATTTAAGTTGTTGGACAAGACCCGACATAACATTGGCAGTGCACATGTTAAGCCAAAGAAGTGCAGACCCGGCTCAGAGAGATTGGGTAGCACTTAAAAGAATCCTAAGGTATCTGAAAGGCACAAAAGATTACAAACTGGTGCTGGATACAGGATATGATCAGCAAGTGTATGCATACGCTGATGCCAGCTGGGGAGACAGAGAGAATGGAAAGTCTACCACTGGCTATGCCATATATATTGGAAATGCCCTGGTTCAGTGGAAATCCCAGAAACAAACATTTGTTGCCACAAGTACTTGTTAAGCAGAGTACTCAGCTATAAGTGAATGTGTATCACAAATAGAATGGTTTGCTTGCCTAACAAAAGAGCTTGGAATACCTTCTGAAATGCCAATCACTGTGCTAAGTGACAACATGGCTGCACAACAGCTTGCTAACCAACAGAACTTTAAGAGCAAGAGTAAACATATTGCGATAAGATACGGAAATGTGAAAAATGCTTTGGAAAGAAATGTGTTAAAGGTACAGCACTGTAACACAAAATGTAATGTGGCAGATTTGTATACAAAATGTTTGGATGCTCCTAAATTTCGTGACTTAAGAGAATTATTAGGTCTCAAGCCTTTGACTTAAGGAGGAGTGTTGGGATTCGCAGGATACTGGATAAGTCTGCAGGCTTCAACAGGATGATGCAATACTCTGCTGGGTCAGAGTGACTCAGCAGGAGTGTGATTAGTGTAATTGGCAATCACCTGTTTTAAAAAGGAAAGCCTGTTTAACAGGGTGTGTGGTGGTTGTGCTGTAGTGTGGTGGTGCTGTCGTGGAGAGTATTCGTTTGTAAGTACTCTGTATGGACTGTTTCTTTTGTAAATACCTGTATATAGCTCACATTAAAAAGGACTGCACTGAAAAACCTGGAACTCTTAATGCTTTGCTGAAAACGCCGCGTGGAATACGCGACAGGGTTATGGGCCCAGCACGCTTCCGCTGCGCAAGAGTATAGGTGGCAGTTATCTAGCCGTGGGTGCTGGAGGTGAGCTGCAGGGATGGAGCAGTCCAGAACTGGCGTGTTGCTGGAGAAGCTGACGGCCACAAACTACAGCATCTGGTCGGTCCGCATGCAACACTTCCTCAAGCGTGAGGGCCTGTGGAAAGTGGTGGAAACTACACCGCAGCCCCCTGAATGGGATGAGGACGACGATGAAAAGCTGGCACTAGCAGAGGCCCAGCTTGAAAAGGATGAGAAAGCTTTGGCTACGATCATCCTTGGAGTGGACGACAGCCAGCTAGTCTACGTAGCTGATAAGGTGACGGCAAGTGAGGCGTGGAATGCGCTCAAGGCTGTCCATGTGCGAGAGACGGCTGGCTCACTGATAACACTGACCAGGAGACTGTACCGGTGTCGGAAGAAACCGGGGGACTCCCTGGTAAACCACCTAAAATTCCTAACAGGCTGTTTCCAGGAGCTAGCCTTAAGAGGGAGGCCTGTGGGGGAAGAGGACAAAGTCTTTATAGTCCTGAGTTCCCTTGATGACAGCTATGATATGCTGGTCAACTCCCTCGAGTCGGTAGAGACTGATAAGCTGACTCTGGAATACGTTACCGGACGGTTGTATGCAGAGGAGGACAGGCGTGCAGAGCGAAAGATGACCTCAGCCCAGCTGTTGGAGCATCCCAGAGGGAAAAACAGCCGGGAAGAGCAGAGGTGTCGGGAGCCGGAGAAACAGCCAGGAGGAGCTGCTGCAGACCAGCCGGTGGTCAACAAAGTAAAAAGGTGTTTTTGCTGCAAGTCCAGTGGACATCTGCTGCGGGACTGCCCAAGAAAACAACAAAAACAGCAGAAGCACAGGAGGCAGCAGAGAGAGTCTACCGCTTGGGTGTCTGCAGATGGTCAAGAAAATGAAGAGCTGTGGGTTCTGGACAGTGGAGCTTCTCAAACCTTTTGTAAAAGAAAAGGACTGCTAACTGATGCTAGGGCTTCAAACAAAAAACATGTAAGTCTTGCTACGGGCCAGAAAGCTAATGTGGTTTGTGAGGGGGAGGTTGTGTTCCCACAGCTGGGACACACATTCAGGAATGTATTGTGTGTGCCTAGTTTGCAAAACAATCTCCTGAGCATTCCTGACTTGGCAAAAGCAGGCTTTGAAGTAAACTTTGTGGGAGATCAGTGCCAGATAAAGCAAAATGGGGCAGTGTTGGCAAATGCTAACCTTAGAACTAATATGTATGTACTGCAGTGTGAGTCTAAGGTTGCGAATGTGCAAAATGTCCCAACCCATGATATGTGTATTCATCTCTTGCACAGGCGTTTGGCTCATGCTAGCTATAAGGTGCTAAACAAAACATTGGAGTTGTGTGGGGGGATGAAAAACATAAAAAGTTGTGATAATTACTTAGACTGCAATATCTGCAAGGAGGTTAAAAGCAGGGCTTGCCCGGTAGCAAGAGCAAGCCAGAGAGAAACCAAAAAACCACTGGAGTTGATCCATGCTGATGTAACTGGTCCTTTTCCACCTAGTGTCTCCCACAACAAATACTGTTTAATCCTAGTGGATGATTTTTCTAGATTTGGCTGGGTCTATCCATTAAAGCAGAAGTCTGACGTTGCCCAAACTTTGAAGTTCTGGGTAAGAAGGGTAGAAAGGCAACTTGGTGAAAAGGTGTCCTCTATTCAATCAGACAGGGGAGGGGAGTTTATGGCAAGCTCCCTAAGAAACTGGTTGCGTACCCAAGGGATTAAACATAGGCTTACCAATGTAGCGACGCCTCAGGAGAACGGAGTAGCAGAGCGCAGGGGAGGTGTCTTGCAGACACAAATGAAAGCATTGTTAGCAGATGCAAATCTTCCAATTAAGTACTGGGCTGAAAGTATTAAGACCGCGAATTATATTGGGAATCGCTTGTGGTCAAGGGTACTAGATGACATACCCTATAAAATTCTCTATAACAAAAGTCCCAGTTTGCAACATTTAAGAATCTTTGGGACAAAGGCATGGGTTGACATACCTGTGAAAAACCGAAGAAAAGGTGGGAAAAGGGCACAGCAGTTGCTATTTCTTGGGTATGAAAGTGGTACGAAAGCCTACAGGTTTGAAGATGATAAAAACCTTTTGAGTTATAGTCGATCAGCCAGCTTTAATGAGCAAAGAAATTGGCCCAAGATACATGCAAACCTGCTGCCAGAAAAAGTTTTACTGCGGAACACTTCAGTTTGGGCTCAAGTATTTGTTTATGCATTTTGGAGCATTTATATTCCCATTAATGATGCAAATTCTGCCCACACCTTTTGCTGCCATACAACCCCAGATCATCACACTGTCTGGGTGTTTCATGGTCAGTGTAATGCAAGTAGGATGTAAATCTTATCTGATTCTTCTCGGGTATTTCATGCCATCACTACCAAGCAAGGAGATTTGGGTCTCATTGCTCCAAATAACACTGTTCCATTGATCTGCTGTCCAGTTAACATGGGTTTAATCTTAGACCAGTCCTTGCACTCAACTTCATATTGCATTGTACCATGTCATCTTGTATCCACCCAGATGATATTCTTCTGTCATGTAGGCACAGTCTCTTCTTTCTTCGATCGTCACTTGCCTTTGTGCACCTTTTCCTGCCTTTATCACTCTGATTTTGTAGTGACTGAGTCTCCTTATACCTCTTCAAAAATATAGAAAGGCCAGCTTTGGTGTAGTTTTTCCCAATCTTTCATCTAATTTCTTCATAACTGTAGCCTTGTTCACTTAATAGTACAATTTTACATCACTTTCTGGGTGATTAGTCAACTCTTTGTGCCATTTCTTTAATTTGATTATGTTTTTCAACCTCACTAAATGACCAACTTGATAGCAATCACATAAGACACTGACAAAAGGCAACCTAAGCAAGTTGTGCTTCCTTTTTCTGGTTATTTGGCTATAAGGTTTGGTAAAATATAGGTAATTGAACAAACTTTGTTGGATTGCATTCTTGATTGCATTCTTGATCAAATTATCTTTCCATTGATATATAAATTTATAATATTACTCCAAAAGAAGAACTACACTTTTTTCAAAAGTCTTCCACAATTTTAACCACAACTTTATATCAAACAAAGCAACATTCAACAACTCATCAGAATCTTATAATAAATATGTTGGTTAATGACAAACAACACGGGTAATGAACACACACCCAACTCCCTTCAGTTCTTCTCTATTTGTTCCTAAGGCTGTAATCCCTTTTGTCTCCATTGCAGATTGTGATGATCAGAAATTGAGAACAAAGGTGACCACGATAAAATCCCAGGGAGGAGAAGCCACGTAAAAATTTGGAGTGTGGAGAGAGCTGCAGTCAAAAACTCCCGTTCCACTTCCCATCACAAAATATCATTGGAAAGAAAGTCCTTCAGTGCATAGAATGTGGAAAGAGATTCACTCGTAGCTCCTCTCTCAGTTCCCATCAACAGAATTCCATACAGGGGAGAAAACCTATCAGTGTGTGGAATGTGGAAAAAGCTTCAGGCAGAGCGCCAATCTCACTTCCCATCAAAGAATTCATACAGGGGAGAAACCCTATCAGTGTGTGGAATGTGGAAAAAGCTTCAGTACGAACTCCAATCTCACTTCCCATCACAGAATTCATACAGGGGAGAAACCCTATCAGTGTGTGGAATGTGGAAAAAGCTTCAGGCAGAGCGCCAATCTCACTTTCCATCAAAAAATTCATACAGGGCAGAAACCCTATCAGTGTGTGGAATGTGGAAAAAGCTTCAGGCAGAGCGCCAATCTCACTTTCCATCAAAAAATTCATACAGGTGAGAAACTCTATCAGTGTGTGGAATGTGGAAAGAGCTTCAGTCAGAGCTCCGCTCTCACTTCCCATCAAAGAATTCATACAGGGGAGAAACCCTATCAGTGTGTGGAATGTGGAAAGAGCTTCAGTCAGAGCTCCTCTCTCACTTCCCATCACAGAATTCATACAGGGGAGAAACCCTATCAGTGTGTGGAATGTGGAAAGAGCTTCAGTAAGAGCTCCCATCTCACTTCCCATCAAAGAATTCATACAGGGGAGAAACCCTATCAGTGTGTGGAATGTGGAAAAAGCTTCAGTACGAGCTCGGATCTCACTTTCCATCAAAAAATTCATACAGGGGAGAAACCCTATCAGTGTGTGGAATGTGGAAAAAGCTTCAGGCAGAGCACTGATCTCACTTCCCATCAAAGAATTCATACAGGGGAGAAACCCTATCAGTGTGTGGAATGTGGAAAGAGCTTCAGGAAGAGCTCCAATCTCACTTCCCATCAAAGAATTCATACAGGGGAGAAACTCTATCAGTGTGTGGAATGTGGAAAGAGCTTCACTCATAGCTCCTCTCTCACTTACCATAAATAATTCATACAGGGCAGAAACCCTATCAGTGTGTGGAATGTGGAAAAAGCTTCAGGCAGAGCACTGATCTCACTTCCCATCAAAGAATTCATACAGGGGAGAAACCCTATCAGTGTGTGGAATGTGGAAAGAGCTTCAGTAAGAGCTCCTATCTCACTTCCCATCAAAGAATTCATACAGGGGAGAAACCCTATCAGTGTATGGAATGTGGAAAGAGCTTCAGTCAGAGCTCCAATCTCACTTCCCATCAAAAAATTCATACAGGGGAGAAACCCTATCAGTGTGCAGAATGTGGAAAGAGCTTCACTGTTACCTCTAAACTCACTTCCCATCAAAGAATCCATACAAAGATTGGAAAAACCATTATACAGCTTTAGGAGCCTGGCAAATCCACACTGTTTTAACCAGGCCTTTTTTCATTAATGACATCTAATGCTATTTTACATGTGATGTTTGTGTTTTATGTTGTGTTTTTATGTTCTAAGACCTCCTGAACTGTGGGTGTAGGGAATACAGCCATCTTAAATTCCTTGGGGTCTTTGCGCCCCCCCCATAAAATAATTTGAGGAGGCCACCCCCCAGGTTTTCTTCTTGTCTGTTTTTTTCAAATGCAACCTTTTTTTCTTTCGCAACTTGCCATTCCATTTCGCTTTCAATTTGCCCTTTAAGAAATTTTTAAAACCGCACAAAGGTCATGAGAAAAACAAAATACGAGAAAATACAAAAGTGGACAGGTCCCATCTTTGCGGGCCAAACGCAAAAGTTGCTTTAAAGGAGGCTTTCCCATACATGGGGTCCCAAGCAGCACCAGGACTACAGTTTCCAGCATCCCTCCCCATTGGTCCTGCTAGCTAGGGATGATGGGAGTTGTAGTCCAAAAACAGCCGGAGACCCAAGTTTGCTTTAAAGGGAAAGTGGGCTGGCCCTGTGACATTTCCAGAGAGCCAAGACTGTGCAGGGGACCCCAGGACTCACCCCCCCCCAGGAGACCAAGAGAAAGGGAAAGAATCTGCTTGGAAATTGAAATAGGGGCTCAAAATATTACTTTTTTAAAAAGTCACTGCCATTATAGGCATTGCCATTCAAATGGCATGCATGCATCATGTGATTGATTGTGCAAGGCCCCCCACCAATATTTTATTCAATTCGGCACCACTGGGTGGGGTGGTTTCCCAATTAAATAAATACATAAATTGCCTCCCTTTGCACATATTCCAGCTTGTCAATATCCTCATTTATGCTTTTTAAAATTTATTTGCCCTCCATCTGAAGATTTTACAATATAAACATACAGGATGAAAGCATGTCATTCTCAAAAAAAAAAGACAAGCCAGAGAAATCTCTCCTTTTCTACTTTTCTATTTTTGGATGGAGTTACAAACTTTGTTGATCAGGGAGCTGCTTTGGAAGTAGTGCACCTCGATTTCTGTAAGGCTTTTGAGAAAGTCCTCTGTGATATTTATGTGAGGAAGCTGGTAAATGAGGCTGAATGAGGTAACTGTTAGGTGGATTTGACTGACTGAACCCAAAGAGGACTCCTTCATGCGTCCTCCTCATCCTGGGGAAAAGTGACCAGAGGGGTGCTGCAGGGTTCTGTCCTGGGCCCGTTGTTGTACAACGTCTTGATAAATGACATGGTTGAAGGAAATGAGGGGATGCTATCACATTTGCAGATGACACGAAATGGATCATGATGGCATCCTCTCTCTTCCTCAGCAACAGACAGGGAGACAAAGAACAGTGCAAAAGCACAGCAGAGCGGAAGAGATAAGACTGACTTCCGTTCTTACACTTTCCAAGCCTAGGAAAATAAATAGAGGCATGTGACATACTAGCCACATATCCAGCAACCGGAGGAGTGAATTGCTAACGCACCACACATGATTGCAGGTGATATGAGTAAAAAAAACCTGCTCCTTTTTGCTTATGGGGTACCCAAGAGCCCCTATACAGTCCTTTTGTAGGTTCTCTATCGGTAGGAGAAAATAGCAGAGACCAACCAGAGAATAACCAGAGCAGCCAGTAAGCCTGTTGTTTACTAACTGTTGCAACAGGGTTCTCCCCCACATGCAGGAGAGAGGAGGAGGACCCCGAGCCATACATGCAGGCCCTTACATAGACATTTTTAATTGCCCACCCTGGACTCCAAGACCACCCCCAGAAACATCCTACATACATCACAGAAGAGGTGTGGCCCAAAACTACCCCCCAGATGCATCATACCTACGTCACAGAAAAAGCGGTCTACAACAGAAATCTGAGTGCGTTGTTTTTACCTTGTCTGCCAGGTTACCTGTAAATGGTCACTTGACTGGATTACCTGGGGAGCCTGGACATTCTTTTGTAATGGTAATACTTCATTCCTTGACCAGGTCGCAGTCTCACCCTATTCACACCTTAAATGTGCCCTTAAGGGCAGGATTTGTGAGGACAGAGACAGTGGGGAGGTTTCTGCATTTCCTTCGACCTTGTAGAGAATATTTGAGGTGAGTAAAAGAGTCAAAATGGCTTTAGGGCTTTCCTGTGGGTTTTGGACATGTGGTTTATATATTTATATATGTATTTGCTTGGTAACATTTAGGAACATTTATATAATATATCCTAAAAAATTATTTTAACAATTCCCCCCTTGAGAGCCAGGCCTCTTGAGAGCCAGCGTGGTGTGGTGGTTAAGAGTGGTGGACTCATAATCTGGGGAACCGGGTTCGCGTCCGCCCGCTCCTCCACATGCAGCTTGGGCTAGTCACACTTCTCTGAAGTCTCTCAGCCCCACTCACCTCACAGAGTAGTTTGTTGTGGGGGAGAAAGGGAAAGGAGAATGTTAGCTGCTTTGAGACTCCTTCGGGTAGTGATAAAGCGGGATACCAAATCCAAACTACTACTACTACTACTACTCTCTTCTTCTTCTTCTTCTTCTTCTTCTTCTTCTTCTTCTTCTTCTTCTTCTTCTCTTCTTCTTCTTCTTCTCCTCTTAAGCTATTTGCAAGTGTAGCAGTGCACATAGCTGGACATAGGCTATCACATAAAAAAATAATACAGTTGAAGCGTAAGGTTCATAAATATGTAAGAAAAGACAGGTATATGTTCCTTTTTGTGTGTCTGTATATATGTGATTGAAACTTTAATCTATTTTACAAGATGTTTTATATATATATATATATATATATATATATATATAGTATTGCAAGGATATTAATAAAGCTGGGGGGGGGGGAGGAAAGCGTGAGGCAAGGGGGAGGTGGTGCCAGAATTTGGCATCGTACAGGGCAGCACCACCATTTGAGATGCCACGATCCGCCATTGCTCTGACCTCTAGGGTGTGCCCTTTTCTTACCCAGCACCCCAATCTCTGTGCAACAAGAAACTCCAGGGGTGCTTCTCCTTACCCGGGGTTTAGTTTTCTGGGAATGAAGGTTAGCAGAGACTGTGGAGTCTTCAGGATACCTGGTTTTATTTGCACATATATACAACCTAAGGATAGGATAGAGGGCCTCTTTGCACCCCCTTACAGATCTTGCTTCTGCATTAGGTTTCCCATAAAGCCCCAAGCCAGCTTTGGAGTCTGGCACAGAGCAGGAAAGAATTTCAAGAGGGACAAATCTAAGGTTCTGCACACGGAGATCAGATTCTATCCAATTCAGATTTCTTTGTGGGGCAGGTATAGGACCATGAACACTCATCCCAATTTCTTAAAAGTCTTCCCACCACACTTTTCAATGCATTTACCCTTCATTTTCCAAACTGCAAAAAGGCCATATTATATTATTTTTTAAGTGGATTTCACAGTTGGGGATGTTTAGCCTGGAGAAGGGGAGACGGAGACATGACTTGAGAGCCGTCTTCAAATACCTGAAGGGCTCCCACATGGAAGTTGCAAGAAGCTTGCACCTGCTCCTGCTCTGGAGACAAGGACCCAAAAGACTTGCGAGAAAGGAATTCCAACTAAAGAACTGTCGTGCATCCATAATGCTATGGAAAGGGTGAATGTCTTCTAGAATTCTCTGGTGTCACCAGAAGAGAAAGCCCTTTTTTCAGTTAGGTCTGTTCTCAACTGCGAGGATGAGTAGCCTTGGGAGCCTCTTGGGGAGATGGAAGTGATGAAAGGACTGAATCCACGAGGGAGAGCTACTTGCTCTGAGATGGGGCAACTTCGGGCAAAGGCCGCTAAGTAGAGATGCTGTTGGCCACTAGTTTCTGTTCCTCCCCACTTTCCTGCGGGAGGAAAGAGCATCTCAGAGTCAGGGGCCAGCCTGGGCCAATGCGGCCCTCCACTGCCCCCACCACAGAGTCCCTGGCTTTCCTTTCCCATCTCTGATGCCATCCAGACACTTACGTTAAGCAGGAGGAGGAGGTGTGGAGCATTGGGAGTCTTTGTCAGAACAGACGCCCATGTTCAAGCCAGCAGGGAAAGAGGGAAAGAGAGAAGAGATTTTGAGTCCTGAGTGCAGTTGTGGAAGTGTGTGAAGAGGAAGAAGAAAGAGCCATGTCAAGAGAAGTCAAGACCAACAGTTACAAACCTTCCTGTTCACCTGCGTTTCATCTCCAGGGGTGCCTGAAACATCCTGTGGACTATTGAACTGAAGAGGTCGGAGGAGAAGTTTGGACTATGGGGCGCTTGTCAAAACACCCCAGGTGCCCCAGGATGTCCTGGAAGAGAGCAGAGGAGGAAAGTCAGGTCCTTCCGGGGGCATCAGGAGGGCACCTCTGACCTCAAACTCCAGGCTTGGCTCTAGGACGGCCTGGAAAGTTGTGTGTTCCTTCGCCAGAAGCTGAACAGGGCCCTGAACCACCTGAACCTAGAAGAGAGGAGCAGGGCGGAGACAGCGATTCAGGAGCCCCAATGGGTGGGGGTGTTTGTGTCTGTGTGGGGGGCTGAGAGAGGAAGGTGGTGGAGTCTTCCTTGGAACCAGAGAGGCCCCCATGAAGGGGGAGAAGGCCGATGGCGTTGGGCAGCTGGAGAGATGCAAGATGGAGCCAGGCAGAGGTGTAGTGGTTGGAGGGCTGGACTAGGAGGACCTGGGAGAGCAGGGTTCGAATCCCCACTCAGCCATGAAGCTCCCTGGTGGACCTTGGGCCAGCCTGGCCTGCTTGGCAGGGCTGCTGAGAAGATAAAAATTGGTGGCAGGGAGAACCATGAAGGCCACTTTGAGCTCCTGGGAAGAAAGTGGGCTAGGAATGTCCTAATAAAAGCAGGGAAGAAATGGGGAAGGCAGGGAAAGAGTGTGGAGGAGCTGAGCTCTCTGGAGAAGTCGGGCCGGGTCAATTTCCAGAGAGCCAAGACTGTGCAGGGGACCCAGGACTCACCCCCCCCCAGGAGACCATGACCAAGGGAAGGAATCCTACTTACAGCCTGCCCATTTCGTCCAGGAAAAAAAAA